TCATGACCACATTTAGAAATGGATGTTTAACAAATGAGGAAAAAGTTGGCATTAATTTTTCCTGTGGTTTGAAGTAAAAGAGGCCACATCCTGCTGATCTATTTTTTTTTTTTAAATATTATTTTTAGTGCCTTGGTTTTGATCTTGTCTGATGTTTTTGGACTAAATGACATTTTCTAAGAAAGAAGGTACATTTCAACACTGTAGTTTGAAGTTATGATTTCTCTGCTTCTGAGGAAACTCTGAGCAGTTTTAGCACTGAAGAAAACGATGTCATTTTGGTAAAATATTTTCACTTTTTAGCTTGCATGCCTTGTATGAACTCATTAGTGTTGACTAATGTATAATTTGACACCAGATTTACCTTGAATTAATAGTCGCCACTATTTATTGTAAAGACGTAATTCTGTGAGATAGGTTACTGCATACAAATCTGAAAAGTAAGCACATAACACGAAAAACTAAACTTTATGGTTTTAAACCAGTTCTTGGACTGAACTGTTTATGAACTTGTGCTAAAAAGTGAAAATGCTTTTACAAAATGTCATATTACTTTGAAGGTTGTAAAATGATTCTTTTGATCTATTTAATTCACTCCGTGCACATGGCTGTATAATTTAAGTACCATTGTTGTATAATATTTTAACTGTATTTATGTGGTCTGCGTTCTGTGTAAATTTGCTCACTCCGCATAACACATCTGGTGGTCCTCAACTTTTTATGTGTATGCAAGTGGACCTTTCATTGACCTGTTAACCGCTTTTGTCATGAGGAATAAAAACGAGCCAACGCTGTACATGGACTCAGATGTTTTGAGTTGACATCAATAGTGTAACAGAATCCTGATGTGCTTTCAGTTCACTATATGAGATTATGCAACAAACTACTAATTTGTGGTAAAGTTTTGTGCTCTCTCTGTAGCATTTGCTCATTCTGAAATGTTATTTTCCTAAATTGGAGTAAAAGTTGCCACTTCATTTCATTTTAAAGTCTGGAGTCATAAATATCAGTGAGCTGTATGACTAATAACACAATTTAAATGACTTTACACCCGAGGTAAAGCTAAAAATTGCATCTTATGTTTTTAAAACACTCCTGACCCATGTTTTGTAGTTTAAAAAAACTACAGAGAAATCATATATGTTGTTGACAGTATCTATATCTATATGCCGAATGAATGGAAGAAAAAAAGGAGAAACATAAGATATGATAACGATGAAATAAATGAAAGTATACCTAAGAGATATGGAGAAGCAGTGTAAGTATAAGAAAAGAGGATTAGTAGGTGATTCCAGTGAAAACAGTGTAGATATAAATCAGCTTAATGTTCTTTGTGTTGTCTATCAAATCGAGTGATTTAAATACTCATTACACAGCATTCTGCGTAATAACGTGCAGCCTACAGCTGAGCAGCATGACTCATAACAGAATTTAAATGAGAATATACCTGAAACAAACCAAAAGAAAACTTTAAACAATACAATCACCAAGGTCAAACATTTCTCCTTTAGTGCGCAAAGTGAAGATCCTAAATTATATTTTGAAACCTACGTATTAAATTACAAAGAAACAACTCAAGTTAAATCAAAAACAGAAAAATGATCCATAACAACAGGTCCATTTGAGAAAACGTCCCATGTGACCGTGACGTTCAGATGCTCGGTTGTGATTGGCTGCGGGGACTGGAGCCCCGCCCCCCTGGCTTCAGTTGGCATGGCGGGGCGGGGCTTGGGGCCTGTTGTCATCAGCTGAGATAAAAGTCTCGGCTCGGACAGACTCTTTGTTTTCCACGTGTTCACATGGCGCCGTGAGAAATGTCTTTTCAAACCGTGGGCAGCGCGTTCAGCCGCTCGCTGTGGAGCAGAGGAAGCAGGAGTCCCGCGCTCCCCAGGTCCTCCGCAGTCAACAGGCTGTCAGGAGGAGCAGGAGCAGCGGGAGGTGCAGGAGCAGCGGGAGCAGGAGGAGGGCAGGGGCACACTCAGCAACTATGTTCCAGCTCCGACCCGGACAGGCCCAGTGCAGACGTGCCCTCACCCACGGAGCCTCCCGGTGCCAAGAAGCGACCGGCGGGGCCCGTGGGCGCCCCTGGTGTCGGTGCCGTGAGGAGACGGTCGTTCACCTCCACCGCTGCTCCGGTGGACCAGAGGTCTTATCTGTGGGCCCGGTACAACGACCTGAGGCGGCTGGTTCACGGTAAGAGCCCCAGAGACACCCGGGTGTCCCACAGGTCTGTCCCCGTGTCTCCCCCACACAGCTGCGGGGAATGTGAGCACGTCAGCAGGGCTCCATGTTCCCTACACACACCATGTTCTGCCCTTTGTGAACAAGTGTGGACATTTTGTTCCAGCAGGCTGTGTGTGTGTGTGTCTGTCTGTCTCTGTGTGTCTGTGTGTGTCTGTCTCTCTGTGTGTGTATCTGTCTGTCTGTGTGTGTCTGTCTCTCTGTGTGTCTGTCTGTGTGTGTCTGTCTCTCTGTGTGTGTCTGTGCGTGTGTGGTTGTCAGTCTGTTTGTGTGTGTCTGTCTGTCTCTCTCTCTCTCTCTGTGTGTTTCTGTCTCTCTGTGTGTGTCTGTGTTTGTTTGTCTGTCTGTGTGTGTGTGTGTGTCTGTCTCTCTCTCTCAGTGTGTTTGTCTTTCTCTCTGTGTGTGTCTGTGTTTGTTTTGACCAACTTTGGTTCGATACCATCATTGTGAGAACATTTGGGCCTCACAGATTGAATGGGTTGTTTTTGGATTAGGAGTACAGTGTGTGTGTGTGTGTGTGTGTGTGTGTGTGTGTGTGTGTGTGTGTGTGTGTGTGTGTGTGTGTGTGGGTGGGTGTTGGGAAGGGGAGGTGGGGAGTCTTCTTTCCAAACAGATCAGACAGAAGGCTCAGTGCTGCTACTGCTTCATTTGTGCCAAACACATTTATGATCTAATCTGAAATAATGATTTGCAGTTTTAGATAAAAGTCAATAACAGAAGTGAAGTCTTGTGTTTTCATCTGTTCTCCTGAAGTTCCTTCATCTAAAATCATCCCTGACTGTGGCTGTTTCAATATTATGGACATGACTTGAGCTACTAGTGGGTTGTATAGTTGAATAAGCTAATTTGGTTGTTACTGTCCCATCAATAAATAGAAAAGAAATGCAATGCAGCTAAACAAATAAACAATAACAACAAATACACATTATATATATTTATTATACTATTACGATATTACTAATACACTAACAACATGTTTCAGGTAGAGCTCATGTAGCTGCTGTGTTTACAGTTGGATTGTTTCATTTGTTGAGCCGATCATAATTTATAAACTTTGATCCAAAAAAACTCTGTAATGCTACAAGTAAGTTTCCTATATATCTGTGTAATACACGTGGAGGAGAACAGTGGAATATAAAACACGTTTCTATTGAACTACCCAGTATGTGCCTGCTTGCTTGCTTGCTGTTATAAATTCCTTCAGTGCAGTTTTCTTTAATATCCATGTAAAGTTGTTTCTCTCTCAGTGCAAACCATGAACTTTACACCTAATTAGTTTTTGTTTTAAAACTGGTCATGCACGTTCAACTAACGTCATAGATCAGATCTTTTGAGCAGTGACTCAGTGTGGAAAACCAGAGGCATTTCCCGGCTGCAGAGCGGCTGCAGAGAGGGTACACTCATGCCTGCTGCCACAGCCCTCATTGAACTTGAACTTGTCCCGGGACAGAAGGCCGTGTTCCACGTTCTCCTATTGACAGTGATATTCTCTGTAATCATGATCCAGGCACAGAATGAGTCGCTGCTTCGGCCCCAGCTGGCAAACAGTTTGTTTAATCTGTGCCCATGTGTTCGCTGCATGACTTTGTGCTTATCAAAACACTGGTTTGGACACCTGACAAAATAGATCATGTAAAGGGCCGGAGAGGTAATCGGCTCCCACTCTGCAGTGCATTCAACTGCGCGCTGTTGATTTTATGCTGAACGTACAATGTGTTCGTTTTGGATCAACACAGCTCGGTTAAGTGTCAGATTTTAGCAGCAGCACATTATGCAACCTGCAGTGAGCATGCCAGCCTCACCAGATTGAAAACAGCAGTTACTTCTTTTCTCTCTGCAGACGTCACCGGGTTTCATAACAACTGAGAACGTTACTGATTTCTGAGTCAGACAATGTGCACGTCCTAATCTTACTTCCCCTTTGATTAAATGTTGTGTTCCCCCTGTTCTGCTTCGCCCTTGTTGAATCTGTGTTTTCCTTTCTAAACATTTCATCTCTTCTCCCTGGAACAGACCTGATCCCACCAGGTGCGTGCAAAAGCCTCAACTCCTCCACCATCTACGCCAACAACGAGGTCAGCCTGGCCGAAGTGGACATCTACGGCTTCGACTACGACTACACACTGGCCCTGTACTCAAACGCTCTCAACACGATGATCTACAACACAGCACAGAGCTTTCTCATCGAACACTTCAAGGTGCGTTGTGCAGCAGTTGCATCAAATAAATCCACGTCACAGTTGTTTTTAGATTCAGATGAACTCATTTGTTTGACAGTACCCTGAGGGCATCCGCACATACGACTACATTCCCAACTTCGCTGCTCGGGGTCTTCACTACGACATCCAAAAGGTAAATTATTCTATATCACGAATATCCCACTGCAGGAGAAGCTGAAATAGTCACGAGTGAAACCTCCTTTTTTTTTTTTTTTTTTTTTAAATCATGCACAGGGTCTTCTGATGAAGATCGATGCCTTCCATTACATTCAGCCTGGAACAGTGTATCGGTAAGAGGCTGATGCTCAGTGCGCAGGAAACGACTCCTTTCCTGCAAATGTCATGACTCATGACCATTCTTACAAGGAGCATGTTTGTAAACAGGATTACACAAACACTACAGGACGGATTATCATGAAGCTTGCTACGAGGCTGTGGTGTGGGTCAGGGACAGGAACACATTCAATTGTGGGGCCATTTTTTTTAACACGTTCATCAATTTCCGATGAAAGAACAAAGGCACATTCAGGGGCCTGATATCTATGGGCGTGTGCAGCTTGATTTAATTAAAGGAGACTATTGGCAGAGCTACGTGCTTTACTGAGTTAATTGTTTTGATTCACATTAATATTTATTCAGCTTCTTTATGCACATCACTGTTTACGCTCGTGTTTGATGTTCCCAGCGGTCTGAGTCCTGTGCCAGACGAGGAGGTCCTTCAGCTCTATGGAGGAACTTTCCACGTGCCTCTGCAGCAGGACAGTGGCTTCTATGGGAAGGTGAGGAGGATGTCGTTTTGTTTACACGGTTATTATATATGTAGTGTACAGTAATATCAATACAGCTGTGTCAGATTATCACTGGCTGTGGATGTTTGTAGGAACTTTAGAGTTGGGAGGAGAGAGCAAATGATTTTTATCAGTGATGTTTGAATGTGAGTTTGTTAGTTAATTAGCAAGATTACACAAAGACTACTGGACGGATTCAAACAAAACAAGGAACTCAAACTACTAAATGTTGTTTCTTTTATCACTTTCCTTAAAAATAAGAAAGATCGAGCTTTTTCTCTTGATTTCTCAGAGAAAAATTCACAGATCTGATGAAAACAACCGCCATGTTTAGGGGACTGATATCTGAGTGTGTGAAATTCGGTGCAGAAATCAATAAAGATATGGATTCAGTGGATTCAAATGTGGTTTCATGTGGTTACTGTTGGGCCTTGGTGATGTTTGCACTTTACTGAGTGTGTTTTATCTGATTGTCGACAGTTTTACCCCAAAAATATTGGGGTGAATCCAGGATATAATATTTTTACTTTCTTTAACATTGCGAGATCGCACATTTTTTTGACATTCACAACAATGATTTCATGATCTGCTTTGTTTGGTCTGCTTAGCTACAAGGTTTGATTGAATTGAATAAGGCTGTTGGGCCTTAGTAGATGTTTGAACTCTATTTTCCGAACATATCCTCTCAGTGTTCTTGGGCACAGATGTGAAAACTGTGGGCTCAGCACATCTATAATAATCTCATCGTGTCGCTCTCAAAGGGGAACGTCAGTCCAGGATTAAATCTGTAACCGTACACAGAGATTTCAAATGTCCTGATTCATGTGGCATTATTATTACATAAGCCCAGATGGTAAAATTTCTAATCCTATTTGTTCCCTTGTCAACATGAGTCAGCTCAAAGCCGTTACAGGCCCTAAACAGGTGAACACAGGAACTTTGGGTCCGAAAAACATTTTAGTGCAGAGTTAATCTTTTTTTTTTACAGGTTGTATTCAGTCAACCAAGAGAAGCAGAAATGTTGAACCTGACAGTTCATCTTGTTTATTTCCTCATTAGGAGAATTTTCACTTCAGAAGTATAGTTTTTTTGTTCATTAGGTTTTTTTTGAGGGTTTACCTCTTCTTCCTCTGATCCCCCTTGAAGCTGTCACATCCAAAATAGGTTTAATCTCATTTGAAGACTTGGCCTCTCAGCGGGCAGAGGTTGGAATGAAAATGGGTTTAAATGTGATTAAGAAGTCGTTTCAAGGAGAAGAGTCACAATGAATGTCAATTTTACACGTTCACAAACATTCACTGAGTAATTTTCATGCATTAAAATGTGTTTCCTGTCACAGGGACCAAAGGTGAAGCAGTTCATGGACATCTTCTCCATCCCCGAGATGACTCTCTTGGCCGTGGCAAATGATTTCTTCATCACCAACGACATAGAATATGATCCAGTTCACCTCTTCAAGGACGTCTCTGTGAGTTTCCCTGTGGCTCTCGCAGTATTTTATGTCTAGCTCATACTGAGCAACACACAGCGCTACTTTATTTCAAAGGTTTCACACGCTGGGATTCTTTGCCTGCTGGAGGCTCAGGAATCTGCTGAGCTCAGCTCAGAGTTTGAAGTGGACTCTCTCGGGTGGAACAGAGAACAATAACTGCCTTTCCCTATCCTCGTGTCGCTGAGGTTTCCAGTTACGAGGAATCCACTGCAGCATAATATATAAGATCTCAGTTTTAAAAACAAAGAAGGATCTTTGGCTTTCAAGCACTTTAACATAAGGAATCATTTATTTCTGGGCAACGTTGACGCTCTGCAGAAAAATTGAGATTTGGCCGTGTACCATGAAAATGTTGAATAACACAGATCTGTTCACTCAATGCTTATTCAACCCACAGGAAGCGATCGGCATGGTTCACCTCAAAGGCTACATGTACAAATGGGTCATGCAAGATCTGGGTGAGTTTCTTATCACTGGGTAGAGTCAGAATTTCACCACACTCACAGTAACACGACTGTTCTGCTTGGCGCCTCTAAGATTTCCTTCGTTTTCCCTCCCAGATAAGTTCATTCTGCGAGGAGAGGAGACGGACGCCGTTCTGCACCAACTCGTCAGGAATGGAAAGAAACTGTTCCTCATCACCAACAGTCCCTTCAGCTTCGTGTGAGTGGTATTTACCTGCGGTCCGCGTGTTCCCGAATCAACTCTGAGTTTAATGAGAGTAAACAGTTTTGTTTTCCTCTGTTCCACCTGTGTTTGTTTTTTTTTATCTCTCGGTAAACAGCGATAAAGGAATGTCATACATGGTGGGAAAAAACTGGAGAGACTTCTTCGACGTTGTCATCGTACAGGCGGACAAACCTCACTTCTTCACCGACTGCATCAAGTGAGTAAACGGTTTAGAGAAAGAACAGCGAGCGCCTGGATCACAAATTTGTTTAAAAACTTGGTGGAGCTTAGATTAGATCAGGTTTAAAGATGTAATATGTGACAAATCTCCTTCTTAGTCTAAAAATAAAAGAATTGCTTGCTCTTGTCGGATAAAGCAGTTTTCCCTGTTTCCAGACTTCATGCTAAGCTAACTGGCTGCTTCTCATTCTCATATTGAGTTTACAGATTTGCATTAAAAACCTTCCATGAATATCAAACTGCTCCATGTTTAAAAACAACCAGACAAGTTAAATGTATTTGTCTTGTGTACTTAAATTATCCAAAATGTTTCCAACAATGTTCAAACACAGAGAAACGCCCAATTTGATTGCGTCTTAATTGCGTTGTTTTTTTCCTCCGCTCACGATGGAAAAATCATTAATTGGCATTTGCTGAAACTTTAATGCATCACCTCATCAGCATTGGTGGCATAGACCACATATCCCATGATCACACGCTGCTTCGCGACATCATCTATTCAGGTCTTCTGTTATTGTTGTGATCCAGAGACTCCCAGCGGCAGAAGTTGCACATTGTACATTTAGTACGTTTGCCTCTGTTGTAGATGTGGAGATTGATCTTTCTAACATCCTTCACAATTCTTCGCTCTTCCAGACCGTTCCGACGCTTGGACGATAACGGAGACCTCCGGTGGGATAAGATTAGAAGTTTGGAAAAAGGGCAGATCTACAAACAGGTCTGTGTTGCTCACCTGAGTTAACATCTCATGTTCGGCCTCCCTCCTTGTTTCTGTCTCTATTAGAAAAGCTTTGTTCTTACTTGTTGTAACTGGGACGTGTTATTACTTGTTGTGTGATTGAACTGAAGAGAACATCTGGTGGTTTGTGGTTTTTGCTGCAGGGAAACTTGTTTGACTTTCTCCGGCTGACGGGGTGGAGAGGATCAAAAGTCCTTTACTTTGGAGACCATCTTTACAGCGACCTGGCTGTAAGTGGCAAAGCATCAACGTCATCACTGATGATGTTGTCTTTATCTATTTAATGCACTTTGTTTCCTTTTTACAGAAAATGACATTTTGTATTCTTACTAACATGAAATTACTGCAACTATAATTATAAATGTTAGTAAATAAGATAATAATTTCCCATCATACACACTCTGCCAGATGCTCACTGACACGGCAGAGTGAGCTCTTCAAACACCAGATGGAGGAAACAGACTGATATTGTTTCGAACGTGTAGAATTAAATATTTTACAATGCTTTATATTGTTTAGGTACTCTGTTGTGTGTCTAATGAACAAAGACACTATTGTCATAACACAGAGGCAAATTAATTTACACAAAAAAAGTCAGTCAAATAAAAGCTAATAAAATTTAAATCCTTAAATCTTCTAATGCAATAGACAGTGAATAAGAGGTCTGACTCAGGGTGCGACCAGATGATTTTCAGTAGAAATATAATTTGGCTCCAGATTATTGAGTGATTCATAAACCTGCAGCAACACAGTTTCTTCTATAACTGCAAACACAGACACAATAAAGATGAGTAGATAGGTAGTTTTTATAAGATAACTTCCCTCTTTTAAAAAAGGAAGTTAAACTGAACATCCCTCCTGTGAACCAAATATGTGTCAGTGTTGACTGAAGACACTGCTATATTTCCTGTTTGCTATATTTTGTCAAGCACATGAAAACTTGTGTAAAAAAACAAACAAAAAAAGCAGATTAGAAACCATGTTACTCGTCTGCCAGGGGAAATCAGGTTTCCTCTCAAGAAACTGACTGTATCCGGCTTCCTATAAGCACATGTAAACACGCTGATTGTACAAGGCTGGAGTTGGACAAAAGCAATTTCACACTTTGCTGCAGGACCTGATGTTGCGACACGGCTGGCGTACGGCAGCGATAGTACCCGAGCTGGAGCAGGAAACCAAAGTGGTGAGCACAGACCGCTACGCTCTGAGCCTCACGTGGCTACAGGCTCTGACCGGCCTGATGGAGCGTCTGCAGGTGAGGATCTAACACCAGGACTGTCTGGAGCCTTGACACTGTTTTTACTCATAATCTCAACAAACAATAACAAATGCATTAGAAATTCATTCAGGTGTAATTTTATATACTTCATTTGTACAATTTCAGTATCTTTCCATGTGCAATCCTGTTTACTTTGTAATTAATATTGCATGTGTACGTAGATATTGCTTTTTCCTTTCCTCTACGGTGTTGTAACACATCAAATATCCTTGTTTTGGGACGAATAAAGGATTATTTTATTTTAGGACATGTCAGAAAATCAGTGTGTTCAGGGTAACATCTGTTGACAAACATCTGTTGATGTGTAAAAGTGTGAAACTGATTATAAACGAAGGTTAATCTTGTTCAGAACAAACACTACAAATTGGTTGGAGGTTGAATTGTGGTTTTTCCGTCTTTATGCAATCAACCTTGATTTGTTCATTGTGGTGTTTTCTTCTTTATCGTAGACTCATCGGGACCTTGAGTCGATACAAGTTTTTCAGGAATGGCAGAAAGAACGAGAGGAACTCAGGTGAGCTCTCTTTGTATTTGAACTGTATGTTATTCCTGAAAGCTGAAAGATCTGGAGTATTCATCCATAGTTATAAATATGAAACCACACATACTTTAAAATCACATGAACTCATGTTGACCTCAAAGTTTTCCGTCTCCAGGATCATGACAAAGAACTTGTTCAACCCTCAGTTCGGCAGCATCTTCAGGACGTGTCACAACCCCACCTACTTCTCCAGGCGCCTGTGTCGTTTCTCAGACGTCTACATGGCGTCCCTGAGCTGTCTTTTGAATTATGACCTCTCGTACACCTTCTACCCGCGCCGCACGCCCCTGCAGCACGAGGCTCCTCTGTGGATGGATCAGCTTTGCACAGGCTGCATGAAGACGCCGTATCTGGAGGAGATGTCTCACATTCGATGAGAGCAGCTCCCTCCTCAGACTGACTGATTTCTTATTGTAGGACTGGTGAATACTTGAGATGGATTGAGGACTAGATTGAGGATTTTTTTTTAAAGCAGGGTTTCGGTTTTCGTCAAGAAGGTCACGCACAACTTCCTCTGCAACAGTCCCCTTCCACTGAAACCCCTTTTAGCTGAGATAACCCTGAAACAACCTGGTTGATTTCCCTTGAGCTAGAGCCTCCGTAGAGCCAGGTCTTTAGGTCACTGTATACGACAACTCAACATCAAGTATGGCAGACAACAGCATCTCTTATTAGTTTCGTTAACTAATACAAAAATCCACCCATTCACACACACATTCATACAGTGCATCCATGTGCACACATGCATCAATCATACACTGGCAGCACAGCCATTAGGCAATTTGTGGTTCGGTATCTTGTCCAAGGACACTTCGGCACTCGGAGTGGGGAAGTCAGGGATCGAACCGCCGAGCTTCTGGTTAGTACGCAAAGCCACAGCCGCCCCATATAGCTCTGTTTTTAAAAAATGTAACGGTGGTGGAAAAGGGGAAACAGTGACCCACTTACAAAGTGAATGCACTAGGGGGTGCTGTAGATTTACTGATCCCCCCAGAGAATGCAGTTCATGTTACATGTTGATGCACAGTCTCTGGTGTCTGGATTTTATAAGTATTATGTAATTGCTGAGCAATAATTACGCTAACGTCGCACAACTACAACAAATAAAAAATGTAAAAAACTCATGCTGCTTTGTGTTGATTTCTTCATTAATGCACACATCGTGTTTTTATGTCAAATGTTTAAGTGACAGTGAAGCAAGTTGATTCAATAATTGATGAATTCATCCTAGAGTTCATCCTACTGCTGAGACCAACCTTTAATTAATTCAGTTCATGTGGAGAGTTGTGCTTGTTTCCTCCATTGTTTTAATTGGTCGTTTGGTTGCTAGGCAGCGCAGCATCCATTCATCACCTCTTTCTTCAGCATCACAAACTCATTCACTCGCAGCCGCCCGCCTGAAGACATCAGCGGAGGTACAGTACAGTGCATGCTCTAACTTAGCTCTAACCATGGCTCTAACCCGGCTCATGTTGTGGATGGATGGCCATGCGTGGCAGTGTTGTAAAACAGCTTCAGCTCGATTTAAAATAACCGGAGCAGTGAGAATACAGCAGCTCGGTTAAGTTTGTGTCGTCCCGCACAGGGATCGCTTGTGTAGCGACTGTTTAACACATTGTGTATTGTGTATTTTTGATGCGGGTGATTATAAATTAATAAGTTCAGCCTCACTGCATGAAGTCACTCGTATAATGTGTTGTTGTCGTGAGGCTGCAGTCTTTGTTCAACACGTCTTTATTTCCTCATGTACTCAACTGCAAGATCCAAAACGTTGGATCCCTGAGACACAGTTTAAATAGAGAATCCTTCCTGGATAGTGACAGGTCCCCTTGTTGTTGTTGTTACTGGTGTGACCTGGATTCAAAACACTGAGCTCAGTTTTCCAGGTTTTCCAGATATTTCTGCAGATGTGTCACATGTGGCCGTTTTCTGCTTTATCTAAAAGTGATATGTTGGACTGCATCACAGCGTTACCTCAATGTGCAACCTCACTGCTCGGGTTTTCTCTAAATCAGATAAGATCAACTTAATTGATCCTATATGCCGAGGAAATTCCCTCAAGATGTAGTTAGACAAGAGGGCATGTGAAAGTATAAAACAAATACATAAACAGATGCAGTGTTTACAGAATCATGTGACCTCTGGTGACAGAATGACATTTTCTCTATAAATAACAGTCATTGATCCATTTCTGGTTAATAGTCAACTTTTCTGTTAGGGACCTGCAGGAGTGTGTGTGTGTGTTTCAATCCTCCACCATGAGTCATAACTGCACTGTTTTACACACTGTCACCTCCGTCAGTGTTAAATTCTCTCTGGGGTTGGGATGAAACACAATCTTTTCGGTGTTTTTATATTTAACTTTCTCCTTCACTGTGTTAGAGGATCCTCACGAAATGATATGGCTCATTTTTTGTTCTACTTCGATATCTCACTGTGAGGTCAGGATGAGAAGGTGTATCAGTTGTTGCTGTGTATTTCTCGGAGTTCGATTTTGGTGTTGGTTGTATTTCCCTGAACCAGTATTCGTTTTTTTCCCTCGCCTGTATCAGGGCGTATTGATTTCTTCTTGGCTGATGTTTATTTCACATGATTTTAAAATTAAACACATTATGAAAACATGTGCTGGGAGATGTGTTTCGCCTGTTTGAACATGTGTGTGTTGACTTCATGCCTCTCGAGGTCTTTAGTGATGCATCTATGTTTCTGCAGCACTGGCTGGTGTTTTCAGTTTATGTCACGGCTCTGTGGTTTCAGTGTGCAAACCTGCACCTGAGCATCCAACGCTTCCAGAACAAAGTTTTTTTCACATCGGCTGACCTCTCAAAACATGCCAGTAAGAAATCCTCCATTTACTATGAAATCTGGATTTAATAGATTCAGTAAATCCTGTGTTTTTTACAGACTGTATTATTGCTTTCATTTATAGAGGCACGTCTGAAGGACTAAAATTAAAAGATTGCACCAATTTTAGTTCCTAAATCCAGTCCTTCACTGCCTCCATCTCTCCAGCTTTACGCCACTCCTTCCATTTGCAGTCTCTTTCTTCCTCCCTTCCCTTTATCTTCTTTTTCTCCCCCCCCCCCCCCGTACCTCACTCCTTTATTTTCTCACCTCTGAATTTCTCCATTCCATGTCCGTGTACCACCCTGCCTTGCCTCATTTCTTTGCTTCCAGTTGAGTGCGTCTGTTTGTGTCACAGTGCTGGTTTTGTGCACTCAGAGGTTTGTGTGCTGCATGTGGCAGACACACACTGCAGCCTCTTCTATTATTAAATGTAATGGGACCTTTACTTTTACAGCTGTGCAATGTTAGGGTCTCTGCACGGTGCGAGACGATTTCTCTGCTGCAGCTGAAACAGGGTTCCTTCATCCGGTGTAAAAAAAAAAACATCCGCGTAAGAAAATCCTCAGAGAAAACACAGACTCACATTGTTTATTTTACCATATTATCATTAAAGTTATTGTGATAGAGCCTCAACTTATTTGTTTATTCAAGTTTCTATTAGCCGATGTGCTGTGCTTACTGGAAATCCATGTTGTGACCATGACCCCAGACAGGGGGGGTGAGCAGTGGAGAGAGGCCTGGAGTCAGCGACTAATTGGCCAAGCCACTGTCCTGGACTGGGGCAAATTCATTACATCATTAATCAGATCTCACATGATGAGAGCAATTAGTCTGTATGAAGTGAATTAGGTTACATCGTCCGTAGCCAAAATTGTTATTGTCGCTGTTTTTTCTTTGGGGTTATGTCAAATTAATAACACGTGGTCAGGAGACCTGAGTCGTCTGAACGGTCCTGATTAAACATTTCTCCACATGGGATCCATAGACATCTGTCTTTACACTGACTGCTGCTGTTGGCATGCTTTTATTGTGAAGTTGTGAACCATAAAGAACTCACACTGATAATTTCCTCTTCGAATTGGAAGTGACCCTACAGATGAATTGTTTATTTCCAGGGCTTTCAGTGTAGTGAGCTCTATGATCCTATATATTATACATGAGCAGGCTAATTTTGATCGTATCCAGGATACTTCAATTTCTGATTCAAACACGTTTGTGAATCAAATCCTTTTCTGTAGTCTCAGTGTCCTTATTTCACTAAGTCACTTTCCACACAAGCGCTGCCAGATTTCACATGGATTATTTACACGCTGCTGGTTTATGTGAGGCCATTGGCGGCTTCGTTTCTTCTTTCATCGTTATACACATAGGATCCTCCTCTGGCGCGGTGTCAAACATGCAGCTCTGTGAAGCACGCTTTCCCGAGATGCAGTTTACTCCCCCCTGCTCTCTTGCCCTCTCATGCTGTAGTTTGACGTCTGATATGTTATTGCACCCCATTGTAAATTACAGCCCTGTCTGTGATGTCTGAAACACAAGCCTGTGCTGCAATTAACATAGTCAGTGGGCAAAGGATGAGAAGCTGCACTCGATGAGGGCGTACTGTGTCACAAAGTGAGGCTGTGTGACTGATGGGAACATGGAGAGTGAACAATTCATGTGATTGGACAGCAGGGACATTTTATTAGCGACTAGATCGTACTTATTATTTTGTTTCCATCATGCATTTGTTCCCTTCTGCATCTGTTAAAAGTCAACGAGTTGTTCTCTCTTACGTGAAATTTTAATTACAGATTTGTCCCGGTGCTTTTGCACGTCACACAAATAAAACAAACATTTAAAGCTTGGTGTTGATACTTAAAGTGGAGGCATCAGTTTGTCCCTGTTGAATTATTCATCTGCAGACTGTATTTATGTGCATTCTCTGCACAGGGGGACGATGTCAGCCAGACCCCTGCAAACAGCTTATTAAAGCCAAAGTGTGCTCTCTCTCTGTATGATACGCTTTGAATGAGTCACCCACTCTCTGCCTCTGTATCTGCGAGGCTTCTATATTTATTCTTGATTCTCATCACAAGTTGCCTTTGTACCGTTGTACCCGTTTAGTAGTTTCAATACCTGCTGCGGTGCAGAGGCACCATCACAGAGCAGGGTTTGGTTTACTCCGTGCATCCACGCACTCTTTGATGTCCTCCTCATTAACATTTACAAAAGCGTCTCGTCGTATCTGTCTTGGATTCGAGGCTCTGCTGTTCAGACTTGTCTCCACCTCTCTGGGGTATAAAGAAGAAGAAAAATCTCCCCATCACCTTCATCTTTCCTGACTGAGGTGAAAAAGAAGCTGATATAGACCCAGTCAGCTGTAATCTTTGAATTAAAAAGCCTCAGTTTGATGCAGTGTGATATTATTGTGACTCTATTTTCTGATGTGACGCAGTGAAAGCTTTTTGATGGAATGAATTGGTAGACTGTAATATTCAATAGCCAAGTCTTAAAATGCAGGGGTGGCAGTAGAGGACTGCAGTCAGCAGGAGTACTATGTAAGTATAGCTGCAGTACAGGGACTGAAACAAAATCTGACTATTGATTTTTCTCCATCCCATCTCTCTTTAGTCTCTGCTTCTTTGTTTGTGTGTGTGTGTGTCAATTTTTTACAGCTCTTATACAATTCAAACATCAGAAGTAGCATACAGGTATGATTTTGTAACTTTCAACTGATGAGTCAATTTAAAAACACAGAAAAGCTAACATACAAAACGTTAATGACGGAAATGTGACGTACCTTTCCCCCCGAGTACGACAATAGAAAGTGGAGACGTGAAGTGGGAGACCAATGAATAACTATCTACAAAGATTGTATGTATTATGAAAGTAGATAAAAGTAAATAAATTAAATGCACATTGGATTCTGTGATACATAATACTGCTGTAAAAACTGCATTGTTACAATAATGCAACCGCTAAATGCCACAAACTCTCTTTGAAATACGTAGAAACATTATTCATGGGCAGTTAGACTGGATTTCCATAATCACATGTAACGTTTAAAGCGTGCTTAGCTATAGATTTCTACAACTTACTGCTATTTAGCATGCGCTCATCATGCAGAACAAATTGCCCGCCTTTTTCAGATCCCATGAATACTCATGAATCAACACGGGATGGTTATTTCTCGTGTAAGACATAAATGAAGAACAATATGTGTGGCTTCTCTCTGGAATGACTTCATATCGTTTCATCTCTGCACCACTGAGCTGTGTGACACATATGGAGAAT